ATTCCATCAAGCCAAACTTTTGACAAGTAAAAATATGTTATTTAAATTAAAAATTTTAAAAATTATTTCTCCAACCTTTTAATAATTATTATTTTTAATTTATTTGAATTTTTTAAATTTATTTGGTAGTAAATAACAGATGCAAAAGACTTTCTAATACAAAATTTGAAATAATAAAAGTCATAAACACCCGCTTTAACTATATTAAACGGTGTCAAAGTTCTCACTTAAAAGTTTTCAAAAGATAGATTTTGTTAAAAAGTATTTGTTAATTTTTTTAAAAAAAAATTACTTATTTTTATAAAAGTATATGCAATAAAAAATATATAATTATTTAAAATTTATTAATTAATTAACCAATGGCAGAATTAGAAAATTTTCACAGGAGAGAGAGACAAAGAGAGAGAGAGAGAGAGGAGTGCGCTTCAATCAAATTGACTAATATTCTACAAGATATGCACTCAATTAAGAATTTTCTTCCCCATTTTCATGGAATAGGAGTGATCACACCATAATTTGGTGGGTCTCTCTACATTCAATCATAACTCATTTGATTGGTGATGAATCTTCCCACAGGAAAGGAGAACAATCTGGAAGAAACAGTTTGAATTTCAAAGCCGAAGAACACAACTCTTGGACAAAGCATTGTGGCTATTGATGTTGTGTAACAACACCTAGAGTTATACGTTACCAAAGTTCACCATGATGTATATAAATACACATGGTTGTAGTGTTACAAATCTACTTCAATATTACAAAACTTTCTCATTTGCTTTGTTTTCAAATTGTCGACTGTTTTGCGTGATAAACACTTTCACGGATTATCGATCTTGTTAGTTTATTCTTTCAATTTTGGTTTTGAAGCTATGAAAATTATTAAAAAATTTCAAAATATCATGTAATATTTATTTGGCAATATTTTTGATGAATGACAATTGCAAAATAAATTGTGTGAATCGTTTCTTATCTTCCATTTACTTAACAAGTTGGTAAAATTTTCAACTACTTATTGAAAGTACAACATGAACAATAATATATTTTATTTTGGAAGCACTAAATAATTACATTCTAAAAGATGTCATCTTTGAAAAAAAAAACTTATTTGGTGTATAAATTTTATGGAGAGAAGCAAAATCTACCTATATATTATATAAGTAAAGTGGGGCATTCACGAAAGATATTGTGGGAGTTTCAAAACCTCATAATAAATTTGTGAATTTATTGAATTAAAAAATAAATTTAAAAAGTAATATTGGCTAATCCATTAAAGTAATCAGTGGTGCTATATGCACCAATTAATTTTTAAAATATTAATAATTCCATAATTTATCATTTTCAAAACGAAAGATAAAAAAAATATTTCATATATTTTCAAACCTAATCCTCTTGCACTGATTTTTATTTTCTTTAAAAAAAATTAAAACTTACTTTTTACTATATTACTATATTATTCATATTATATATAACTGCGCTCAAATTTTTAAAATTTAAGATAAAAATTAAGAGCCTTCAAAGTATTTTGATTTAATTACACACATTTAATTTCTTTTATACACTTTTTTTTTTATTTGTTTTGTACACTCATATGTACATTTATGCCTAAATTATAGATTTTTTAATACATGTGATGGGTGTGAAAAAAAATTGTATATGATTACAAGCACCCTTCCTATTAGCAATATTCATTTATTTTGTTTCCAAAAAAAAAAAAAATTCTATATCTCATAAATTTAATTCTTTAGTTAATGAATTTTCACACTACTAAAAGACAATTTTTTTAGTGTTTTTTTATAATGGTAACTTCATTTCACAAATAATTAATTATTTTTAAAATATTAAAAAATTTTACATGAAAATTTGTATTAAATAAAAATTTAATAAGATCTAAATTGAAAATTATGATTTGTTTTTGAAACTTCATTTCTTTGATCAAGTTTTATACTAAAAATAAAATTTATGAACTATCTTAATCTGATCTTAAATAATTCTTTTAAATGTAAATATAATTTAATATTAGACATATTTTAAGAATAAATATATAATTTCTTAATTGAAATTTTAGAATATTAATAAACATGCTAAATATATATTCATATTTTTTTATTTTGGTTATAAAAAATTTTACAATACTTTTACCATTTTAAAAAATAAATATGTGGGCAATGTGATGGTTGGATATGAACCAAAACGATTATCTAAAAATTAGATTGATGTATAGCATAAAAATCAACCAAATTGAGTTCTACACTACTTTTAGTATTTGATCCAATATTAACTCATACCCATCATAACTTAACAAATTATTAAATATAAGCTTAAATTGATTATTATTAACTGTTTTCACTAATTAACGGATCAATTTTTAAATCGAGCCCAAGATAGGATTAGAACAAACTCTATACTTTAGGTCGATTTAGTATTATATAATTTTTTTCATATATAAATATACTTAATTATTTGTGTAAGAATTTTTAATATAAATATATAAATTTTTTACAAAAAATAAATAAATATGCCAAAAATATACATACATTTTCTTATTTTGGTTATAAAAAATAATCATAATATATTTAGCGATTTAAAAAAAAAAATAAGTGGGTTAAGTGATCATGAATTAGATATGAATGAAGATAATTCTCTAAGAATTTAATTGTTGACATAAAAATTGATCTTAATCTAACTTCTTAACTACTTTTAATGTTTAATATAAGTACTATCCCTCAAATTAGTTCATACTAATAAAAATTTGAGATATTATAATATAATCTAAACATAAAATTTAAATTGATTATTACCAACTATTTCTATTAATTGATCGATCAAAATTTTAAATCAAGTCCAAAATATGGTTAGAACAATGTTCATATTTTAAGTTGACCTTTGATAGTTTTTTCACACATAAATACACTTAACTATTCATGTAATAATTTTAAATATAAATATAAAATTTATCAAAGTTTTAATTTTTTAATAACTATGCATAGACATGTACATATTTATAATTTTATTATAAAAAAATATTGACATATATTTATTCATCAATTTAATAAATAAATGAATTAAGTGGTTCACGCTTAGACATAGATTAAGGCAATTCTCTAATGATTAGGTCATGATCAAGTTGAGATAAATGTCGAATCAATTAGATTATGTCATTTTTAGTATCTAGCATAATTATAAATCTTCATCAATTTAATAAATAAATAAATGAATTAAGTGATTCATGCTTAGACATAAATTAAGGCAATTCTCTAATGATTAGGTCATGATCAAATTGAGATAAATGTTGAATCAATTATATTATGTCATTTTTAGTATCTAGCATAATTATAAATCTTCACGTCAACTTCTATATATTTTATTATAAAAAAATACTGACATATATTTATTCATCAATTTAATAAATAAATGCATTAAGTGGTTCATTCTTACATATAGACTAAGACAATTCTCTAATAATTAGGTCATGACCAAGTTGAGATAAATGTTGATTCAATTAAATTATGCCACTTTTATTATCTAGCACAACTATAAATCCTCAACAATTTTAAATATAAATATAAAATTTTATCAAAGTTCTAATTTTTTTAATGATTATGCATAAACATGTACATATTTATTATCTTATTATAAAAAATACTAACATATATTTATTCACCAATTTAATAGATAAATGAGTTGAGTGGTTCGTGCTTAGGCATAGATTAAGATAATTCTCTGATAATTATGTCATGGCCAAGTTGAGATAAATATTGAGCCAATTAGATGACACTTTTAGTGTCTACCACAACTATAAATCGTCAAACCAACTCTTTTTGTATTCATGATTTATAATAGAGGAGAAACTATAATTTTATGCCTAAGTAGACATATTTTTAAACTTTTACAAAATAGACAATGGGTAGTTGATAAATTGACAAATATAATTTATTATATGATTGGGCTATTTCTAACATAAAATAAACTAAATTGCAAAACTTATAAAACAAAATGCATTTATATTTCATTGTAAATATAGTTTTTCCAATTTTATTACACTTTTTTAAAAATACATTATACCATAGTTTATTTATTTTTTATAAATAAATTTTATGTTATTATTAAATTTTGAAATTTATTTTTAATTATTTATTTAAACCCGTGCATAGCACGAATATTATGGTTTATAAAATAATTTAAAAAAATTACAACCATGCTATGAAGATTAGTTAAACAATGGTGAATGAGAGAGAAGAATAAGAAAAGGGCCTAATGTGAGATGTCAAAATTAGCGATTGTGAAAAAATCTAAAATTGTGTTTCAAAAAAGATAAGAGTCATTGGTAATTCATTTATTCAATTTTTTGATTTAAACAAATTTGAGTTTCACAAAAAAAAATTATTATTATTACTATTATATGGCATACTAAAAAAATGTAATTTAGAAAAAAAGAATATTAATAATTATTAAGTTTCACATAATTTACGATATCATCTAATATATGGCAAACTAAAATTATAAAACCCTTAAAAAATAATAATGTATTTATATTTTATTATGGGTGTAATTTTTGTTTCTAAAAATAAAAATTAAAAAGTGAAATTTTATAATTTATCGTAATTTTTGTTTAATTTTTACTAATTACATTATGATTTATGTTATTGTTATTTAGAACTTAAAACATAACACTAACGGTAAGGGAAAAAAAATCATAAGTAAAATTATGATAAAAATAATTAAAATTTAATTAATTTTATTTTCTATTGTTTAATTTTAATTTTAAAATTAATTATTAATTATTTGTTTAAAACGTGCATAGCACGGTATAACGCTAGTATATCATGAATAGCAATTTGGAATAGGTGTAGAGAAATTTTTTGACAATCATTCTCCTTCAAAATTGCTCACTAAATGGAAAAATCAGAAGCATCCTTAACAACAACATAAGAACTTATCATGAGTTGCAATGTAACCAATAGTTAGTTATAAATTCATATATATTATCAAGCAAATCTGACATAGACATGAAACAAACTCACATTGTAAACGCAAAGTATCAGAAAACCAGGCTTGAAAAACAAATCAAACTATTATACAAAACTTCAAATCTACCACATTCTTTTCCAACAGTGTTTGCCTTAGAGGTAGTTGCAACTTCCAAAGTCAAAAAGGCACATTGAAAGAGAGAGTGAACATACAACTCACTCTCTTCTTTTTCAATGAAGTATGAGCATACAGTGTTCATTGAAGCTGCAGCAATGCTTCCTCAAAGCTTGACTTCCACATCAACCCCAGCAGGAAGGTCAAGCTGCATCAAGGAATCTATCGTTTGAGCAGTCGGGTATAGAATATCGATGAGGCGCTGATGAGTTCTGATCTCAAAATGGAACCTGGCATCTTTGTGCACGTGTGGGGATTTAAGTACACAGTAAATTCGCTTCTTGGTTGGTAATGGCACAGGACCCATGGTCTTCGCATTGGTTGTCCTTGCAGCATCCATTATCTGCTTGCAGGAATCCTCTATCAATCGCACCCAATATGACCTCAGTTTAATTCTGATTTTCTGCTTTGGTGCCATCTGAGAATGGGAAAAAGATATTAAGATGATCAATGTGTTGCTAAAACCACTGAATAAGTTGCAAATAGAATAACGTAATTTTACGCTATGTTTGGTTGGAGGATTTGAGGAGGGATTTGGAAATGGAAAGAGAAAAGTTAGGTGAAATGTGAATAAAATGTACTTAAATTTCAACTAGTTTCACACACCTTTTCCCTTTCCCTTTCTAAATCCCTCCCCAAATCTCCCAACCAAACACAGCATTAGAAAACAAGAAAGAAATATTCATCTTGCACAAGAGATTAATTTAAAATGCAATCCTCCTTCTGCAGTCTTGTGGCTTATCATAAGCCACTGCAATTTGTTAATATTGCTATTTAAAAGATCATCATATGAATCTAGCCATATCAGCTCCAGGGGCAGAGGCAAATCAAATGTGAACAAGTGCATTTCCTCTTTCTTATAGTCATAATTTTTGGAAGCATCCAAACCCAAAATCAAATGGTAATGGGTGGAGGGCCCTCAGACTGAATGAACCAAACTTTAGTGGCTTAGAGAGGCGATCTGAGACAAATCTCTAACACTCCCTTGTACATGCGGCAGAGTTGAATGTGGAGGTAATAGAGAGAAAAACAAAAGAACGGGAATAGACCCGGGATAGAGACTTAGCCCAAGAGGCCATCCAAGACCTAGCTCTAATACAAAGTTGGAATTTTAGAGGACTCTCCAGCCCAATTGGCAAGGACTGGAGAGAGAGGGTCCCCTAGACACTATAAATCAAGCTTGGGTGACTTGTTAGAGAGGGGATGCAGTACAAGTCTCAACACTTATTCTGGAGACTTCGCTTTTTATATATTTACATGGCGCAACCCATTTACATGGGACTTTTCGTGTGAATGAAATCTGTTTTACCATTTTTTTTTTCTGTTACACATTGAAGAGAAGGTAATTGAAGGGCTTTTCCTTCCCAAGTGTAAACTCCAGACACGTGGCAATGTCTTGATAAAAAAAGAAGTTGATTTACATATCTCTCCTCTTCAATTATCCAGAGTTATATCACTTCACCACCATAATGTGAAGATTCACATGTCTCCACAGGACCTCAGAACTAAAGTGATTGCCTAAGATAGTTCCTTCCAGCAACAGATTAATATTCACAAATGGCAACTATATCAATAAATTCAATCATTAAAAAAAAAAGACTAAAAAGATATTGAATGAATATTACAAGGGAAACCACAATCCCAAAGCATTTCTTAAATATTAGGAATTCCAAGAAGTTTTCACTTTTTCTCAGCCTACGGTTCTAGCTAGATGAAACTCTTAATTCCATACAGTTAGCATACAACTCCAACAAGAAGAGGGAGAAACAAACACTGTTTCTTGTGTGTGATGACTGCTATTAGTTGGAATGAATTCTTATTTGTGTTTAACACCAACTCCTTTTATAAGCTCTTCTTTAACCATAGGGCAGGGAACTTATCCCCAAGCCGAGTCCGTTGATACCAAGAAAGATAAAGAAAAGACTAAGATTTCTTTCTCCTCTAGTCGCAAAGGGTACGATGAGATACAATAACTGAACTACACTGGGTCTCTCACATGCTTCACTCAACTGACTTACATAGTTATATTGAATCTGCTTTCACAATTGCAAAGAATTTTATACTTGCACACAAACATATGGCACATTTGTATACATAAACATGCATGTGAAGATATATGTGAGTGAAGCCCCTATAGAAAGAAAGGGACAGTTTAAAGTTTCTTCTAAAAGGAAATATGAGGTGTACTAATTTCTTTTTTTCCTTCAAATTTTTTTATTGTTAGCTATTCTGTCTTCACTTCCTCAAGTACTTGGTGCCAATTAGGCCCTTGACCTTTAGATGCAGAGAAACCAAGCAACCTGCACCACAAGGCTGACAGTAGGCACAAACTACAACTGTTGGTGGCATGTTACCTCTGTGGGAGGAGTGACTATATTTTAACTAACCCAGTGACATTACCTCCAAGTTCCATACCTACCTCAGTAGAGCCATCCATTTTAAGCGTGTATAAATGGGAAGTAAAAGAACGTTCAAAGGGGAAACCACACTGATACAGTTCTCCCAACAATAATACAATCACAACTCCTCAATTACAAAAAGGTTTGAGTTGCTCAGTGCTTCTTCTACAAGGTCTGACATCTATTTTTCCCCAAAAGAAGAAAGAAAATATTGAAAAGAAAGAAAAAAATAACTGAAAATGTTTTCGACAGACTATGCAATTTCAATCCAAGATCCAAGCCAAAGAATGATAAGGACCTCAAAATCACTTAACCAGGCTACTGGTTTCTACTTTCATAGTTACTTCATAATGTGGCTGACCTATAATTGAAGGGTTAAATCATTTAAAAAGAAATTTTCAAAATTTGGGGGCTATAGTGCCCTATGTTTGCATGACTAAGCCTAGTTGGAGGATGAACTATCAAATTAAAAGGAAATAGATCCCAAAAAAAAAAAAAAAAATTAAAAATACAAATATATCTAATCCAAACTTCAGCAAATTTTATTCTCACATTGCAATGATTTGCATAAGACTTCAAAGATGTTTAACTAAAAAGACTAATGATAAAGTTGTTTTTTTTTCAAATGGTTACTATTCTTCTGTGACTGTTCATATCAAATATGACAACATATCTAATACAAAATACTGTAAAGCATACACCCACTCAAACACAACACAACTAAGACCCAAATGGTTGTATTCATTTTTATATAAAATTACACTGCCCTTACTTACCTAAATTTTCTCAGCAACCAAACAGAGCCTAAAGGGAAGAAATTACCTTATCAACATCCGCCCCAATACTGAGAGGCGAAGAACCAGGAGGAGGCTCCGGACCTTCAACCTGAACATAAACCCCCCAAAAAATCAACATTAACACTCAATAGAGAAAGCAATTACAGTGTTGTGTGCTCAAATTTTCTGAGAATCACAACCTCAAGGGCAGCAGAGTCAGACCCATCTAGGGTTTCTTGAGAATCCAACACTTCAGGAGCAGCAAAAACCTTAAAAGTAGATTGTTGAGAGGGTTTTAGTGGTTTTAGCGTTAAGGCAATAGAGGGCAAAGAGAGAAGAGAAAGCTTGGGCTTAGCATTAATGGCGGACAAGTTGGATGATGGAAGTTGTAGACATGTTGCTGCACAAACTGATGAAATCGCCATTGATTTTCTCTCTCCTCACTCTGTTCTCTCTCTCTCTCTCTCTCTCTGAGTCTCTTGCAGGAGAGACCTTGGCTCCACGGCTGAGCTTACTGGTGTGTTATCCAAATGTGATAAAAAATAAAAAAATAATAAAAAATTAAATATTTAAAATGGAAAACAAGAGATCAGTATCAAATTATGATGATGGTGAAGAGCACAAGCTATGTAGAAAGGGAAGAAATCCAAGAGATATCAACTTGTAAGAAAAAGAGAGGTAATCTCGTATTAAAATATGTTATTTTAATAATTTTTTAACTTTTTAGTTAAAGTATGAGCTAAAAAAATTATTATATTTTGGATATTTTTTGGCTTTTTAAAGAAAAAAAAAACTTACAAAAAGTAGGAAGAAAAGAAAATCTTTAACGTTTTCGTATAATTTGTTGGCTTTTTTATTTGTTTTAGTAATTTTTTTAACTTTTTAACTAGAAAATGGAGTTGTCAAATGGGAAAATCAAATAAAAGATAATTTATTAGTTGGGATCAAAATCAACTAGCAAAGAATGTTGGTTTGTTTTGACATAAAATAATTTTTTTAAATAATTAGATATTTTTTATATTATTTGATTAAATAAAAAGTAAGTAAAATATTTTAAAAATATATATATATATATATTTTTATATTATTTTAAAAAACATAAATTTTCTTTAAAAATTTGGCAAGTTAATTTTTATAAATTGACTTTTACTCACTACATTTTTAACATGTTTAGTCTTTTCAAATAAATATTTTAACTTACTAAAAAGTGATAAATAGTTATAAATGATACTTTATTGAATTAAAAAAAAAATTTGAACAATAAAATATATATTTTTTAAGTTTCAACTAAATGATGAAAATAAAAATAAAAACATTTTTTTTTGTGTAAAATTAATTTATAAAAAAAATATATTTTTTTAAATATTTTATGTCCAAATAAACAGTACCTACATTACAAACTTACCAAGGCCCCAAAAGGGCCACTTGAACCAGACTACGGCCCACCGTCTTAACTTTGTGGAATTTCAGAAAATCCAAATAGCGCTATAATGGGCCGGACTCCACAAGAAGTCCAGCGTAGATGGGCCTAATCAGACCTCCCTAGGATTGAAAAACATGTCATTAGTATTACCATTCAATCATTTCTTATTTTTTACTTTCTATATGTAAATGGTAAGGTAGTTGTTAAGTTGATACTTTACGTCATGTGACTTTATTGTATGTTGATGATGATACAACATTATCGATATTACTGTTATACTAAATTTTCACTTGATTTGTTGGGCTTTCCAGAGGAAAATAAGAATAATATAATTTTTTATTTTTTATGATTTTAACGTTTGGAATGAACTATAAATAAGGCATGATTTTTTATTATTTATATTTATTTATTTAAATCAAAATCATTTTCTCGAACTGGCAAAAAATTGATTTTTTATTTTTTTTGTCAGAATTTGAATTAGTTTAGGATTTAAAAAAAAAAAAAAAACTCGCAATGCTTAACGATTTATTATTTTTTAAAAGCTAAATAAACTTCTCAATATTTAAAATTTCATTATTTTTCTACAAAGAATTTATAATCAAACCAAATATTTGAATAACATTAAATTTTCAATTTTATTAATAATAATATGATTCTTATAAGTAAGATTCTCATTTTTTTTTTTTTAAATTTCTATCATACAAAACTAGCCTTATGGAATAAATGCACCTTAAAATTTAGATTTAGAGACAAAAATTAATTAAAAAATAGAAAGAACTAAGATGATCTCCAATTTTAAATTGAGCAACATAATAGAGGTTTATTTAATAGCGTAGCTCAAGTGGTTGTTCATTTAAATTTCTAAAAAAAATTTGAGTTCGAATTTATAAAGAAACATTAAACAGCTGATTATGCTAACTTAAATTATTTACCTATTAACAACAATGCCAAAAAAATTTAAAATTTTTTAAAAATCCCAAAAAGTGAATTGAGCTTTCTTTGTATTAACTATTTACAAATGAGTAATTGAAACAATTCAAAAAAGATCCTATTAACAAATGCCCTTAAGATACAAGTGAAAGATAAAAAAAAAAAAAAATTAAAAAATACAATATATTTTTTACCAAATTCAATGTAGTTTTATTAAAATCAATATACTTTTTAATGTTTTCACGTATTTTCAAAATACTTTGTACACATTTCTTAACATTAAACAATATCCAAAAGGCACTTATTAGCATTTGTCATAAAAAAATAATATAAAAAAAAAAATACTAGCCTCACTTGCTTCATAAAAGTTGGGAAGAATTAATTCCAACCCATCTCTCACATGGTGTGCTGTGGAAAAATACAACACGGCTCCTGCACATTTTACTTTTATTCACTTCTTTGACAAACATAGAATTACACCCATTTAAAACTAGGAGATTTCAATGTCTCTTTTGTTTAATTAATTGAAATGTACTATATAAAAAATAATTAATTCAAACATAAAAGGGTCTAGATAACGACTGCCAATTGAGCATTCAATAAGAATCAAATAATGTCAAAAAATTATATTATTAATATATACACTAATTATAATAAACATAAAATTCATATAAAAAATACTTAATTCAAACATAAAAGGGTCTAGATAACGACTGCCAATTGAACATTCAATAAGAATCAAATAATGTCAAAAAATTATATTATTAATATATACACTAATATATAATAAACATGAAATTCACATATAAAATACTGATTTTTTTCATCATTAAATTAACATACTGTAATGTAAACAATCACCCTCTTATAATTTTTGAAATATTTTTGTTTTGTTTTTAAAAATTGAAATACATTAGTTAAACTTTAAAATATTTTTATTTTTCTCTTGAATTTGGACAACCTAAGGCTCCGTTTGTTTTGGAGTATGAGAGGGGGATTGGGATTAGGATTAGGATAACTGTGGGCCCCATTTAATGTGTGTAGACACCCCATTTTTGACCGACCTTAAGACTCAAATGTCATCGAATGAGTGCTCGGTGATAGTGCATGTTGTGCTCGTTTCGAGCTTCGAAGTTTTGGCTGAGAGCCTTGCCTCCGGGCCTCGGAACTTTTTTTGTGCTTTGACTCGGTTTGCAGACAAGGTTTTGTTTTCTCTCCCCGAAGGGAGGGAGAGGTCTTGTAGACCATCTCTCAGTGGTCGTAGACTACTTTTCGTGGTCGTAGGCTACTGTTCCCGTTTGGAGACTAGTTTCCGGTTTTCAGGGCTGTCGGCCGCGCGCCTCGGCTCGGGACTGCTTAACATTCTCCGTTTGGCACGGTTTTTGGAACACACCTTGTTTCCTCTTTCTAGAGGGACACTGTGGCCCGGGATACCACTTTTGTGGTCGCACGCCACTTTTGGTGCTCAACAGCCAGTTTTCGAGGCTCCCGGCCGTGCGCTTTGCCTCCCGAACTCTTGTTTTGCACCCGTGTTGGTTCATTTTTTGCATGAACCTTGTTTTCCTTGTTTGGGAGGTGGTACAAGGGTGGGAGACCACCTTTTCTCCCCGCCAGCCGGTTTTCTTGCCAGGAAACTGGTTTTCTTGGTCGTTGTGACACATTTACTGGTCTCCCACCATACCACTAGCTTGATTTCAGTGTGGAGACCACCAATATCCATTGCCAACCACTTTTTTGTGTGGGAGACCACTTCCCATGGTCAGCCGACCAGGGAAAGTGGTCGGCCGACCACCTTTTTTGGTCGGCTGCTTTCTGCCTGCTTTGTTAGATTGAGTGGATGCTAGCTGTGCTAGTTGGAAGGCACAGACTGTATCCTCCATACACGTGTATGAAGGATTTGTAACCAAGTTTTTAGCTTCTTGGAGAAGCTTTAGCTTCAAACCTATATAACAGAGGGCCTCCCTCTCCTTATACCAGGTTCTAAATTTTGGTTTAAGGCTTAGGCATATATATCTCTCTATATCTCTATTTCTTGGCCTTAAAGTGTGTGTAGTTCTTGATCCATTGCATCACAACTCTTAACCATCCACCCCACCATTCAACTAAGGTTCTTGGAGGACTTTTTGGATGAGAAATCTGCTGGTTTTGCTGAGCTTCAAGAGTAACCTCTTTTCTCTCTTTTTAAGTTTTGTATTGATCACTGTCTTAGACATATTTGTATGCATATTTGAGCTTTGTTTTCAACTGAGAAAAGCTTCACATTTAAGTGCTCAGCATGTTTGTTTAAGACCCTTTTGGTGTTGAGGGTCATCTACCCTCTTGCATGCTTTATTTGGCCTTGTTTTGTGCCATGCCATAAGGCCTTTGATTTATTCTTTGCTTGCCCTTTTAGCCACTGAAATCCAGTGGATTTTCAGTGGTAGGCATGTAGTTTTAAGGCCTAAAATCAGAGGAGGGTGACTCCCTCTCTTTTGGTTTTGTTTGCTTGCATATTTGGCCTATCAAAGGAGCACATGTTTATATCATTTGGAGGCCTAGTTCAGGCACTTTTTAGTGACTTCTAGGACCTTCCTAGGCTCTGTCCATGGCTGGTTTGGCCCCATTTTGTTTGCTTCTTGCATGTGTAGCGTATTCCCATTCATAGCTCATCAAAGTAGCATGTCATTCTTGCATGTATTGGTCATGTTTCAATGGATTTTTGGTGATCATTTGACATGCCATGAATCTGTTTTGGGCTGGTTTAGTAGTCTCTCACATGCTTCATATGCTTGTAGTATAAATCATGTTTACTAGTTCACAATGCATGATGTTTTGGCTCACCATGCTAGCATATTTTGGCCATGTTCTAAACTGATTTTGTTCATATTTTGGACTGCCTTAGCTCTGTTTTGAGGCCTCTTAGTTGAATGATACTTGCCATGCATGCTTGTAGTGTGATCGACTTAACTAGTTTCGAGTTTTGGGGTCTCTTGCATGCGTTGCTTGAGGTATTTGCATGTTTTGGCATCATAGGGAATGTTATTTCAGGGCTTATACTTATGCCATGTTCTCATGATTATCACTCCTTTAATGTGTTTGAGAGTTGCATCATTATGCCTTGTTTGTGAGCCATTGCATGAGCTTCATTTAAATGCATTTCGAGCCATCATCCCAACTCATTTTGC